AATCTAGCTTATTATAAAGCTAGTCTTATTAAAGTTATAGATATTAGACTTTATAATACTATATTTTATAATTATATTTACTATATAGTAAAACTATATATTTATTATATTTAGATCTTTATATTAAGCCCTCTTATAGTTATACTTATAAAAAAATGTATTTAGAGCTTTAGTGTTTATTTAATAAAGTCTAAGGCCTAGTGCTTACTAACTAGAGGCGTATTATAGTTAGTAAGTAGTTAATTAGCTATTTCTTAATACTACTAAGGTAGAAAAGAAACAATTAGGAATTTAGGTTAAGAATAAACTTAACTAGCTTCTTTTTTTTAAGTTCTATTAAATTCTATAAGTTAGGTATAATATTATATTATAATAGTGTACTTTTTAATTAATACGTTACTAAATTATAACTAATATTATATATCTTTACTATAGCTAAAACACTAAGTCTTAGATCTTTTTTATACGCTTAAACAGCTAGCTATACCTAGGCTTTATTATAAGTTAATTTTATTATTATTAGTAAAGAAATAAAAAGGAAAGGTTAGATAGTTAGATAGTTATAGTTTAGTAGCGCGCTTACTTATCTAGCGCGCTTGCTTATCTTATACGTTAATAAGTAGTAATAAATAATTAAAGCTAGAAACTACTTTTTAAACTATATATAAGAAGAAAAAGTATTATAAGATTACGTAGTAAATTACTATAAAATCCTATTATAGATCTTATACATTTTATAGTAAACTAGCTATAGTTATCCTAACTGTTTTATTAGTATTAATCTATCCTATCAATATCTAGGTAATAGCTAATATTATAATAATATTACTAATATAATAGTCTTTATTACTTATAGGCTATTCCTTTTAAGTTTTTATTTAACTATAAGTCTTTATAGTTAGCTATACTACTATTAGTAAATCTTCTAATAGATATATATGCTCTTAAATATTAGCTAGAGGAAACGCCTATAACTAAGGGTAGTTAGGCTAATAGAGTGTAATTATAATAAGAATAATAGGTAGTGGAAATAAGGTTTTTAGCAAGGAATGTAATTGCCTAACAAAGAACAAGTAATGTAATTGGTTAGAAGAAGTAGAGAGACAGGTAGTTATGTTATTATGTCTAGAATGTTCAACGTCTCTAACTCTCTAAGTGCTAAAGTAGGCCTATACAGGAGCTGCTCAAAAGTAGGTGCTTTGCCTTACATCTCTTTAAATTAATTCAAGTGTTTCGGAGTTAAAGTCTGATATCTGAAGAAATACGCAGTATGTCATTTTGTGCCTGCAGTTAATTGCCAAATCAAGTCCAGCTAATTACCAAGTCAGTAAACGAACGTTCGAACGACGTGAAATGTTCAGATCAAGGTTCTATAAGCATAAAAACAAGGCGTAGCTGTGGAATGACTCTGCCTTACTCAGAATACTTGAACAGGGAGCAGCAAGTTATTGTCCTAATGCTCGTGCATTAGGGACAGTTGACGGGATGCTACCTCCTTTCGAATTAATGCCACAAATCGCCATACTGCGGCTCCATTTTCTGATGACATCCTGTAACTCCATGCCGGTGGTTTGCAGTAGCACCAGTAAAGTGCAAATGGTTCCATCTGTAAAGTATTGACTGCTTTACAAGCCTTGTGCACTGGGCTCGTACGCCGTGAGTTAAGTCAAACTACCTACTTTCCGCCCCCCCCCCTGCATTCCGCCCACCTTTTCCCACCAAAAACAGCTAAAAACAGCTACTTGTATCTATACACCTATTAGACTAATAATCCTAGGTTTTTATATATAGGTTTCAGAAAGTAAACTACTACTATAAGCTAAAGAAGATATAATACTTTATAATAAATAGCTATAAAATAAAGACTTTAAAGACTTATAGTAAATAGAAATATAGCTAATAGAAAAGAGTTATAAATATAGTAAAATAGTAATTAATTACTTAAAAATAATTTATTCTTATATACTTTTACTTTTATCTTTTATATATTTTATATACTTACTTATTTAAAAAATAAGCTTATTACTAAGAAAGTTTTAGTAATAAGATCTAGTATTATTTATAACTTAATACTAAGCTATTAATAATTAAATATAAGAGTATATATATAGTCTTTAAAGTGTAAAGTATATAGAATTCTTTTTTTCTTTCTTTTTAGTTTAGGAATAAAAAAGTTATAAAGAATTTCTAAAAGTTAATATTTACTAGCAAACTACTAGTAAACCTTAACAGTAGTATACTTAGTCTTATTTCTTTATATCTACTATTTAAAAAGATTTAAAACTTTTTTTATAGCTTTATACTTATATTATCTATATAAGATAACTTCCCTAGATTTCATTATCTATATAAGTCCTTAGATATAAATAGCTGTTTTTAGCAGTTTTTGGTAAGAAAAGGTGGGCGGAATGCAGGGGGGGTCGGAAAGTAGGTAGTTTGACTTAGGTTGGACCAAGCGTACAATATTAATCATGCCCAAGGTCTTCGTATCTAATCTAGTTGACCTTTGTTCTGGTCTCTAGTCATGTGAAATTAACGTTTTAACTAGTAAAGATAAGAACTGATTGCTGTAACGCAAGCTTTTTGCTGCTTGTGTGTGTATGAATATCGGGAGCTGTAAGTCTCATCCCTCTATGGATACTTTGTGGCGATAAAAACTCAATGTGGCCGCAACACACTTACCACGTAACCAGACCAGGTTGTGGCTAAAACTGTTTCCTATCTTTACAATGGGTCTATAGAGTAATATCATATCTGTTGACTTACCCAGCTGCACGGCATCGCCTGGTGCCGAGGCTCAAGTTAGTATTAACCTATAATTTTATAGATTCTCAACTGTCACACTGTCAGCCTATGCTCAGTTAGAAAATAAGAAAGCAGTTGACATAATAAGTTGAAACAATCCCGATCGCCGTGCCCCCCATTTCCTTAGAACATTCGGCCGGTGTAGTGTGCAGTGCCGTCCCAGGCTTCAGTCCCTCAAAAGTTCGGTTCCGTATTATGTGCGCGAAAAGGCGCCATCAGCCGGATGTCCGAAACTTCGATTTCTAGCAACCTATCACGTTCTTATCGTGTTTGCATATGTTAGCTGCTCCATGTAGATTGGTTTATTTTTATATCCCTGCTCGGCTGTGATGGAGGACAAAAGGAAGCTGCTACCTAGGCTAAATTATGCTTTATAAAACTTTATCTAATGTCCAGGCTTGTGATTGTTGTAAAAATGAATAAATGGGTTAGTGATTTGTGTTATTTGCATGGCAGCGAGCCTCACTGCCTCTGCTAACTAATAAGAGACAGTAATTGGCACAGCCCTCCCTGGTAGCTGTTCCGGATCTGACGGGGCAAACGAGCCATGGAACCTGCTGGGCAATTAATTGTACAGCATCGATATGAAGAGACGCGGTTAACATAGTGCCTAGGCTAACGGCATATGTTGTTCAGCGGCCAGTGCCCCAAGGTTGTCAATCACCGCCGCAGAGACAGTGCACATCTGGCATAAATCTAGCCGGTAAGAGTTAAGAGCCCACAGTGACCGTTTAGTAATCATACTGTAGATCGACGGTATGGCATGATGTACAGAGTAGGGGTCCGACGAAGCGTTCGCTCCTAGGTAATCAACTGGGTTACAGTGCTCTTGTGTGGATCAAAAAGCTTATGTCGGGGAATTAAAGCGACGTGATCAGCGACATATAGGTAATCGCTTGATTTGCTCCGGCTTTCAGCTTAAGTCACTTTGTTAACAGGAACCAGGCACTCGACACAAAATGATTACAGAGCATATTTACGGATGTTGAGGTGTTGGGAGCTCTTTAGTCGTTTGCTTGCTAGCCTGTTCCATTGTTTAATATCCTTAAAGAAGTGGCGCAATCGCTGTTGCTTATGACTCTGCCGCCTTAGCCGGATGCATTGAGCTCCTTGAGCTACTTTATCACCTCATGCCTGTGTACGGATAACGACCAACTTTTTGCCTTCTTACTTTTAAACGATATTGTGGGTAAAGTGAAGATGTGGAGAATTTCGCGGCTCGACCGGCTGGGATGCTGGCTGGCGGAACCAGGTAATTAAATGGAAAAAACACGAGATGGTGGTGCCGCACTGCCGAATCATGACTGACTAGCCTTTTCCCATGATCCGCACTATACACATAACTAGCAACTACTGTAGGGGTGTTGCAGAGCATTAGGATCCTATAGATCAGCGGTAAAGACCGGCGCTAGGGTCACTCAATATGGGCACCCGGCATACGAGGCGAGCCGCGGGGGCGAGCCCGGTTCCGGCAACACCGCATTCGCTCCTCGCTCTAATAAACCCACCACCCCTGACACTGAGCCGCAGTCTAGCGGGGTTTACTCAAACTCACCATGCTACACTACTAGTCATTGAGCCTGCATTCTTCGTGGCCTAGGCTGGACTGATTGTACTAGCTCTATATCAGTCCTCATGTCTATTAAATAAATATGATAGCTTGTTATTGTTAACACACGCTTGTGCGGTTAAGGCCTCCGGTAGTGGAGAATGACCCCAGTTGCTTGGCGCAAAAGGCTTTCTGCCTACGCGCTTTCTTAGTACGCCGACCCGTTTAGCGAGGCGCGCGTCTGACATTGTGCCCTTAAGTGGGTCCTCGGCAGCAGTACAGACGAACTTCGCTGTATTTATCAACTAGCAGTAGGCCGAAGCAAATTGTAATGCACGTATAGTGTCTCCTGAAGTATGCCTGCGAACTGGTAAATGTGGGATTTGTGATCAGCGTCGGTTAGGCCGATCTATCCCCAGGAATGTATCACTCGTATGTAAGTAGTCCTCCGCTGTGCTTCAAGGCGTGGTATTCTCCATCCGAGTCAGGGATGTACCTTTGTGGTGTTCATCCGATGTCTCCAATGAATCCATGTCAGTGATCTCTATAAAGCCTGTATAGCCAGCTCGGCGACATAGCTTTGCTGTACACGGCAGTGCCACATCCCCAGACGCTCTGCTCATAGGTTCACCAGAATTCTTTCATCATGTCCACAGTTTCTTCTACTTTTGGCTCTAGGTCCCTCCCAAAAGTCAGTACGATACCAAATGGACCGTTGTCATACCTTCAGCCATACGGAACGCTGTTCTTCGCCTCGAGTATTATTGTGCTAGTAATACTGTGTAACATTCTCGAACGATGGCTACTTCGAGCTTTCTACGGAAAAGTCTACATAGACCTCCAGGCTCCCGGGAACGAGAAACGGCGACGATCTTTTACCTACTACCACATCGGCGCAATGAATATAATTTTCGTTCTCTCTATTGGATTCTACCCAGTCATGCGATTTATCGCTGGGCCTGCGGAACTATCGACGACCATGGCCACTGGTAGCCGAGTTCGGGTTGGAGACCTTCTTTTCATCATAGCCCAGGCGTACCCTGCATACTATACTTTTGAGCTGTGCTATCGCACCAAGTTCGCAAGTCCTCTTAGCATTGCCCACCACACCGGACTCATAGCTATCATGCAAACGTCGCTATCACTATTCAATAATTGGGAGAAACACCCAGAAGCTCCTATTGAGTTTTACATGTGTATGATTTGGGGTATGTATCGAACACTATCCTTCAACATTAGGCCTTAAAATTAGACACCCTAACGACAAGATAGGTACCTTTGACGCGATTGTCGAATTGCCAATTTTTATCTCCATGATCATCTGGCGTACGAGACGTAACGAGAACAAACTGCTAGCCTATCTGACTGGCGGTCTCTTTGTCTGGATTATTGTTGGCGCCTTGGCTGAAGTCGCTGTCACCGCATACCTGCTCCATAAGTCATGGGACAGATGGGGAACTGTCTGGAAGTTTGTTACCCCTTTCATCTTTTCGCTATGGATCTGTACTCAGTTCTACGGTGCCTCAAGACTATACTTTATGTCTCAGTCAGAATGGCGAAAGTACAAAAGAGGAGGCGTGAAAGACATCGAGGCTGTTGTCGATCTGCAAGAATCAGATTGCGAGAAAGAAATATCCAGTGTGAGCACGCAAGGGAGGTGTTTGGAGAGGCTTAATAACTCTGCCGAGGTATAAGCACATCAGTTGTATGACAAGGGCTGAAAAAGACTCATGGGATAGTTGTATACATAGTTATTGAATAACTGTTCTACATAGTATTATATTTAATATATTTAACTCTAGAGCGGCATCAGTAACCCTGCCTCTTAAGCGGTAATGTAGGGGCCAATAGGTGTAACGAGTGAGAATAGAGCACTAGAACATGGTTTTAGAGTTAATGTTAGTACTAGTGTTGTTCAATATAGTAAGGTTATATGTAAATTAACTAGTAAATATGTAAATAGCCTATAGCAAATGTATTCTCTTAGGAAAGGTTTATTAAATAATAGGGATTATAATAGTTAATTAATTATGTTAATATATATATATAACTAATTATAGTAAAATACTACAGAAATAAGGGAAATCCTCTATTTCTTAGTAAGAAAATCCTAGGCTAATTCTAGTAATATTATTAGTAAGATTACTATAAAAGTAATATAATTTTACTACTTATTCCTTAGTAATTTACTATAAGGTAACTATATACTTACTAGTAGATTTATATATACTTTTACTATATTTAGTATACTCCCTTAGTATTAGTGATATAGTAATTACTATAGCGCTTATACTAAATATTCTCTATTTATAGTCTATTTATTTATTAATTATTCTTTAATATTTTATATTATGTTTTTACTTATTAGTAAGGCTTTACTTTATTATTAGCTAGGTATTACTAGTAATTTACTTTTAAATATAATATATATAATTAGTAAGTTAATTAGATAAGTAAAGTAATCAGGATACTATAATTATAGTCTTTTTTTCTTTTTACTATACGTCTAACTACTAAAAATAATATATTTACTAAATAATAAAGCCTTATTACTTTTAGCTATTAAAGCTATCTAAGAACCTTATAAAACTAGTATTTAAGCTATATTATATATTTATTTAGTGCCCTTTTTAATATAACATAACTATCTTAATAAAAGGCCTTTATAATATAACACTATAGCTAACTTATAGAATTTAATAGAACTTAAAAAAAGAAAGCTAGTTAAGTTTATTCTTAACTTAGATTCTTAATTATTTTCTTTTTAGCTTAGTAGTATTAAAGAAATAGCTAATTAACTACTTACTAACTATAATATACTACTAGTTAGTAGGTACTAGGCTATAAACTTTATTCAATAAATACTAAAGCTTTAAATATATTTATTTAAGAAATATAACTATAATAGGACTAAATATAAAAATCCTAATATAATAAATATATAGTTATTTTTTAAAGTAAATATAGATATAAAATATAGCATTATAAAGTTAGATATTTATAACTTTAATAAGACTAGCTTTATAATAAGTTAGATTATATTTAAAATAGTTATTATAAGCGTTAAAAGATATTTAAATATAAAAATAGTATAGCTTAGTAATTAAGAATAAGTTATAGTTACTTAAGCTATTAGTTTATCTAGTTATAGTATCTTATTATATATTATTATTAAAGATAAAAATCTCTTTTTTACTTAGTATATAAAATCTAGTTTTTTATCTAACTAAGTTATTATAATATCTAAAAATAAATTGATAATAAATAAAAAAAGCCTAAATTAGCTTTAGTACTTTAATTAAGATTTAAAGTTATATATAAAAAAGAATATTACCTTTTTATTCTTAATAAGTATAAAAGTTACTACTTTATAGATTTTAAAGTATTTTCTTACTAAAATAATACTATTACTTTTTATATACTACTTTACTTTTTTTATTTACTTTAGCCTTTAGATATAAGATCCTTTAGGCCTTTAAAGTTAGTATATAGTTAAGAAATTAAAAATTAGATATAATAAAGTAATACTTATATTACTAAAAATAACTTTCTTTTAGTATTTTATAATATCTTTAAGTAAGCTTTTATAAAAAAAAATTTAAAGAGGTTTTAAAGGGTTAAGGATTATCCCTCTAAGTATAAAAAGTGTACTATTAAAGCTAGACGTTAGGTTATATACTTTAATACCTTTAGGTTCCCTCTTAATAATACCTCTAGCTTAGACTTATTAAATATTATATGCTATATTAAAGATAAGTTCTTAAGGAACTTTAATTAAGAATTACTTTATTAATTATTTAAATAGCTTCTTAATATATAGTTTAATAGCTACTAAGTATATTCTTAAAGAACTGCTAAGATATATATATATAAATACTTTATTAAGAGCTAAGGTTAAAAGCCTTTAAGAGTAAAATAACCTACTTAACTAATATAAAAGAATTAAAAAAGTTTACTTAAGATAAAAAGAAAGTCTTACTATAGCTAATATATAAAATATTTAGTTATAAAGAGAGGCTATAGCCTAAGTATAAGAAGTAACGTATTAAAGTAGTAGTTATAGACTAAAGATAGAAATAGATAAATAGCGTTATAGTACTTATAAGAACACTAGATATAATATATAAATATATTAGTTTAATAGAATAATATCTAAAGTAGAGGATTTTAAGTAGTTTAAATTAATTTAACTATATTAAAGTAAGGTAGGGCGATTAGCCTAAAGCAAGATAGTATATAGGCTAATTAGAAGATCCTAATCTAAACTAAGTATAGAGATATAAGCTAGTGTTAATAAATTTAGAGATAGATATATATAATTTATCCTTTATACTTATACCTACCTTCTAATTAAACTAGAGCCTTTTTATAATTTACCTTTAATTATAATAACATAAGATAATTAGAAGTAATTACCTCTCTAATTAGGGTATAATTATACTTAATCCTATAGTTTAACACTTATAATTAATATTAATTCTAAACAAATTAAGACAATTTATATACTAATTAGTAAGAAATCTTATGTTACTTTTAGTAGTTATAGTGTTCTATATAGTCACTACACTATAAGAGTCTTTTATACCCTATACGCTTCTAATAGTCTCCCCTTTTAGAAGATTAACTATAGGTTTAAACTAATTAAAAGATATTTAGTTAAGCACACTAAGTAAGTAATTATAAAAAGTAATAATAATAAGACAATAAGATTATAAGAAGTAACTAATTAAGAGAATAAGAAAAACCCTAAAAAAATAATACGATAATAAAGTAATAGATTAGTAACTTAAATAATAGAAATTACCTAATTATAAGACTAAGATAATAAGTTTAAACCTTAAAAGTTACTAATTTATAATAATAACTAAGACAGATTATAAAAATACTAAAGGAGCTAGATAAAGCTTTTAAAGGTCCCTATAAGTAAGGTAGTCTATTATAATTAGTTACTTATAGTTAATTAATATAAGATAACGCCTTAAGAATTACCTAATTTAGAAATATAAAGCTATTAGCCTTAGGACTCCTTATAAGTATACTAATTTAAACACCTATTATAACTTTATAAAGAAATTATAATAAATTAAAAGACCTTTTTTATTAAAAGTTAGTTAATAAGTTTAGTAAGGGCTAAAGATAATTATATAAATTCTACTAATTAGGGGTATAAGCTTAGTTTAAATAATAAGATAAGTTACTTTAGTACTCTTAAAGAGGATCTTAAAGAGTTTAAATTAGTATATAATTATTAAAATCTTTAACTTA